TAACCTTCTAGCGCCTAACAGGCAGCTTGGGTTATCCGGGGTAATAATCAGGGTGTTAGCGCTTAGAGCATGCTTTGTTGCGTGGAGATTTGCGCATTATAAGACATTATTTATTCTTATTATTAATTCATAATAGGATTCATTATGATAAATACTTAAGTAGGACTCAGTTCATAAAGACTTAAATAGGATTCCGTTCATGAATACTTAAATGGGACTACTCAGTTCATGAATACTTAAACAGGATCCATTTTATAAATACTTAAGTAAGACTCAGTTCATAAAGACTTAAATAGAACTCAGTTCATAGAGACTTAAATAGGCATGTCCAGTGTCCAGTGTTATTCTGAAATATCGATAAAAAATCATATGGTCAATTGGTGAAATACAGAAAGTCAAAGCCAGGGAAAAATCATGGTTGATTATGAGGCAAAACCCATAATATTGAGAGAAATTCATTAAGCCGTTATTTTGATGAATAAGAAATAAATGCGATGCCTCAATGGCATGAGCAATTTGAAACCTGCCACTTCAAACAGGCAGTAATGAAACAGGGCATGGAATTAGAACGTTGCAGAAACAGATAGGATGATTGAGACTCCATGTTACTTGTCAGGCCTCACTTTCTCAAAATAGAGGGAATTCTCAGGGTCTGTTGGATTTCCTTTAGGGGCTCACGTGTGGGACGGGAATGGAGGCCACGCCCTAGGCTGGCCCTTCACGACCGGACTCACGAATAACATTTAGGATAAAGGACCATTGCATTCAAGATCTAACTCTATTTGGGAAGGGTTTGAATCACAGGACACCACCCAAGAATAGTTCTCATAATAGCAAAGGAGCGAGACTTCAGAACAGACAATCGGTGTTTCGAGAATGCTTCGATCCGACCCCGAGCAGCTTCGTTACCTCCCGCCTCAAATGTCCTTTACCATCAAATTAAACCAGAACCCTCCAGCACTTCAGAAACACCGGCATCATCTGCCACAGGAGCACAAGCTGGGAGGGATCAGATCTTTACCAGCTAAAAACCGACTTGGAAAGGCTCCTGAGCATGGAGACTCTGAGAAGACATTCCCTGACTTAAGGAGGCAAGAGGCACTTTCCCTCAAAAGGCACAAACCCTAACACTTCAAACATCACAGCGTTTCAAATGCAAAGAAACATCTTACATGGCAAACTATAAAAGAATGGCGTGATTCCATGAGAAACCATCGGCAGCCACCAACGCGGGTTCGAGTGTGAAAACGTGCCACTTTACCCTGGTGCATCTCGAGCACCGGCTCCGTATAAATAGCTGGATGAACCAGACATCAGAGTGCCATTCCAGCTTTCATGGGAGTGAGATTCGTTGATCCGATCACCGGGAATAGGGTTGTATGATTGGCAGCTCAATCGGGTTTGTTTGAACAACAATGGTCAAAATCAGTATTACCAAATAGGGATACGAATTCCAGTTCGAGCAGAAAACCTGGAACTGATAACATATACAATGGCCAATACCATTGGACTACAATGAAAACTGTTATCAAGGCTGCAGTTTGCTAAAGTTCGATATTCATATCAATGGGCCTCATTAACACATACAATGTATACCTGTGTATCTGATGTATCTCCTCTTGAATCGAAACTGGGTCAATTAAGCGTGCTGCTCAGCTTTTCATCCATTTCAATGTCACATATGTTCTCGTCACGATATGGCTGAAATATTGCCGATGTGACGTTAAATAATAACTCACTCACTCACTCAGCTTTTCAAGGCAACCTTGCCCATCACGCAGTTGGTAGGAAACATTCGATAATCACGAACTTCGAGATAGGAGATTGAAATATATCGGTGCGGGTGCTGCCATAGTAAACCCTTCGAGATAATTCAAAGCAAGCGGGGCCGTGAAGGATATTTGGCAGAGACACACACTATCAATAGCACTTGGAGACATCAGATATTTCGAGGTTATTTACTGAAAACAATGGATGATAAAGACTTAGGCACGTGAGGTTTCAGTCGCCGGTTCCTTATTTCTAAACAGACGCATTTGTCACAACGCGGATGATGAAGACAAATTCACATAATTCCCAGGCCACCCGTCCCCATGCCGCTATTTGGAGGTAGACATATCTGTCAGAGCCATCGTGATAACGACGTGAAACCATGTTGTAGAGTTTCATTGGTCAAAGATTGATATTTCGAGGTAGACACTTTTTTGCAACAGAATGGTTGATACGGATACAGGCAGACGGTGCCAAGGTCGTCCTGTTGGCTATTGGAGATATAATCAGGTTGATGAAGATATACACACATGCTGTCAAGGTCCCCCGGTGCTTTAGTTGGAGATAATGCCCTTCAGTATTATTAGTTAGGGAAACGATCGTTATTCATCGTCACGCTATTGGACCTAAGGGGCAAGTCGACGTTGGGAGTCCTTGGTGGTCGCCCGTTTAGTTGCTGTACTCTTTAATTATTTTCAGGCCAAACGTTTTGAAGAAAACAAAACACTAGTTATAAATCGTGTCTGTGTATTGTGCTTATGTAAACCATGTGCTCTTTACTGGGGAAAATTCGTAAGATGAAACGAATTATCTCGCTGAAATAACCAGGCTAACGCCCACCAAGTCTTGACGAAACAATTGATCTTGTATAGATATTTTAGTAGAGTCACATCCCAATCTATTTCTCTTTTTTTCCCTGCTAACTTGTATGTCGTTTTTTTAAATTTCATGTTTGCACAGTAAACGTAGTTTGAATTGTACGAGAGTTTTGTAGATGACTCAAACCTAACGCATAAACATTCATAAATGGCGTTTTCACGAAAACGAATTCATACACAGGACTCGTATGAAAAGGGTCCAACATAAAATGTGCATACTTCGAACATAGATTTTGTTACTCATAGCAAAATGCAATTACGACTTAAATAATGCAATTTCGCCCTTCCTCAATAAGGCTTCATAATGAACACATATAAAGCGAAAGGTGATGCTCGCGTGGTTCACCTTGTGACTCACTTCAAAGAATCCAATTAATATTACGTTTTCATGCATAAAAATGGGTACAATAGCTTATAACCAGATGCAAATTCGAAGATATGAGCGGAATGTTTTTCAATGTACGCTTGAAGTTTATTCCACCAGGTCCCTGGCACTAAAACAATAGTAAGGGGATCCAGAGTTACCAATGTGAGAGCTTACGTTCGAGCGTGCGTGAATGTTTGTACATGCATCGTATGTTTGCGCATTCGCTCTATCAAGACGCATTCGCTCTATCACGACGGCTGTTGAACTATATTTTCCTTAGATGTATTCTACAGTATTACAGACATGCTTTAAGCCATCCCAGATATAATAACTTCCAACTGTTACAGGGAGGCATAATAAACTGTACTGTAATAGACTCTGTTTATATTACCATAGCAAAGGCATGTCATTAGTTGAAGATGAATACCACTTATTGTTATGTTATGTCAATGTTATAAAGATGCAAGAATTGAATGTTTCCACCATACCTTTATTAGTAACCCGTGTAGGGAAAGTTTTGTAAGACTTATGTCAAGTAAGGATGACAATGTTTTGGTAAGTATTGCTAAGTTTCTGATAAACGCTTGTACAGTTAGAAATGCATAAATTTCAGTCAATATTCTGCGCATAGATTCACATGTTTTCTTTAGAAGGGTATATTATGCATGTACATTGTGCAAAAATGTTGGATAGTTTACAAAGGCGAAAATGTTACTGTTACTGGTTTACCAGCATCAAATAAAATTATTCTGAAATGTGGGCCATTGCCTTATATACTGAATGAATAAATGTCTGTCTGTATGTCTGTCTGTCTGAACATCCATTTGGGAGTTTCACATACTCTTTCCGTGTGAATCTTCAAACCATGATATGTTTTAAGCTCCGTACAGCAGTCTGCCTTTCCAACAGACAGTACAAATTGCATATTTTCAGTGATGGCAGTCTGTTTTGTTTCGGTATTTCGTTATTCCAGAAAACGAACGCTTCGGTGAAGACGAGAAGAAAGCAAACCTTGGCTCATGCTTTTCAATCGTTGCGTAAAGCGCATTGCGTATCCAGGGCCTAGATTTTCGAAGCTCTCTTAGTGCTAAGACAGTCGTCAGTGCCATACATTAACATTAACTTACGACTATCTTAGTGCTAAGAGAGCTTCGAAAATCTAGGCCTAGGTTCACTTGGTGTATGTTGTTTCGAATTTCACCCATTAAAGTGAGTGAGTGAGTGAGGGAGTGAGTGAGTTTGTGAATGAGGTTAGTTATAGACCGCGTTTATCAATATTCCAGCAACAGCAGGTTTACATAGGGCAAATGATACCATGTAAAACAAGGAATTGCAGTTAAACATATTCAGAACCTCCAGTATGTAGATTAAGTGTCATAAAGCAACATCCAGTCGGATGTATTTGGTTATTCATAAGCTGTTTCCACTTTCTCGAAAACCACACATTTTTGTTTCTAAAAGCTTAGTACATTTATTTCCAAACACGATAATATTTGGACACAACAGTGATGTTTTGTACCCAAAATGAAATGAAAGTTTGGTATGAAATTATATTTAAAAAAAAGTTAAAAACGTCAGCTTAACTATAATAATAATAAATTATGCATTTATATAACGCATCTTATCCAGATATAATCTTGCTCAAGAGCGCTCAGTACATTTAATGGTCCCTATTATGGTGATCTACCTTCAGTTGTTGGCGATCTATAGCCTGTTTTTATCTTGTATTGTCCTAACAGTGCTATTAGTTTTAACCTTCCACACTAGTTCTAAATCTAATTGTGACATTCTAATTGTTTCACTGTCCTTCGATGACAGGTTTTATAATATACACATATTCCATTTCAATGTAAAATGTTCTCGTCACGATATGGCTGAAATAATGCCGATGTCACGTTTAATATTAACTCACTCACTCACTATACATTTAATGACACCATAACATCTTAAACTTAATGATATCTTCCAAAAATAACGGCACTTACCTAAGAGTAGACTCCAGAGTACTTCTCTAATCCAGGTCATTAGTTTCAGTGTCATTATGTGAGAAGGTAAGAACTGCCTCCAATTGCCAGATATCATGTAGAATTTAGTTCTCACAGAGACGGCAGTAGCTGGTACTGGCAGCACGTCTCATAACGCTCCCGTAGTCTCAATCTCCACTGTCTGGGACTCCAAAGCGATCGCGTTTTATAGCAAGCGTGCTTTATCTGCCGTGTCAATAAAATCGTTAGATCGCCGCTGTATTAAATGAGCAGGAGGCGACAGACCCCACCTGTTGCAGTAATGGAATGCCAGAACAGAATTATAGGTCTGATATAATCTTTCGGTTTCATCACTGGTTGCTTCCTTAAATAAACGGTTTGAATGTTTTGCAAATTGTGGCAGTACATTATGATGGCAACTGTACAAAATATGAATAGTGTTGATCGTGTATTGCATCAGTGACTTAACTATTAAAACTTTCATCATTAGAATCCATTAATAATTTGTATCAATATACAACGTTCTGCTCAAAGCACACGGGTTAAAAATAAGGTGACGTTTAACGCCGCAGGTGGCGAAGAGTACTTGGATGAGAAATCGCCTTCGAAAGCTACACCCTTGAGAGTTACCTGCCCTTTGGCTCCACCACACATTCAAGCTTATGTAGCAAGTGTTATGGCTCCTTTTGAAAGGCTCAGGATGTGTCTCAGATCACACATCAGTGAATATGTACGCTGTAAAATGAGATGATCATGTGTCCTTTAACCTCATAGGGCTTCACAGCCAACACGGTGGTATCATCCCCAGGGATTTGAGAATGGAAATTCATGCACACACTGATTGACTATGGTAATTGCGCAGCGCTTCGAGTGAGCGTCAAGGCGCGGAACGTGCGCATTATAAATATGCACATTTAATTACTTTATTATGTTATGGCGAAGGATATTTGGAAAACACAATGACATTATATGTCCAGTGATGTGCCTTGTCTGCCACAGCATGAGTGGTAATCATGTTACGCGAATCTTTGTCGTTATCCAAAACGTGTCAAATTCTCAGGGGATTATGACCTCCATTTATTCACAAGAATGGCATCTACTACATATTTGTGTTGGTGTCTCTGTATCTGTCTCACAGTACTGAAACGTGCTACGAAACGTCCACTATACTGTCATACTCTCACACACATACTCATGTACATTCATGATAGATGTGACTTTTCACTCGCTCACACATGCACGCACAAACGCAGATACGCACGCACGCGCACACAAACTGTTCCCATGTGTTCACCTCTGTTCACATATATCTCAGGATAGGTAAAGATGCCATACTATTAAGTTCATTACTTAGTTCATATTTATGTCAGCTCCTTGGCCGAAACAAGCATGGTATATCATGCAATAAAGAAATTAATGTGTCCGAGTTGGCCCACTATGAATAATATACTTACCACTTTCCGTTGCTACAAAATGTAAGATGCTCGAGCCTAAGGTTCATGGAACATATTTCACGTGCATTAAATAGGGGCGACCCGAGAGATCGTTCTGGCAGTTACACATAGAGTGCTGTACCATTTTAATACATATTTCAAAACAATGTTAACACAATGGGTGCTAACATGGTTGAAATGAGCCAAGGCACTCCGACCATGCTGTAACAGATTCTATTCAACCATTCCATAGGCTATACGGGCGGTGGGATAGTGTAGTGGTTAAAGATTCCGCTCGTCACGCTGAGGGCCCGTTTCGATTCCCCACATGGGTACAATGTCTGAAGCCCATTCCTGGTGCGCCCGGCCGTGATATTGCTGGAATATTGCTAAAAGTTGCGTAAAACCATACCCACTCACTCCAAATGTTAAACACATGTACTATGCCGTTGTGCCCTATCATATCCATATGCTATGCCTGTGTATATTATAGTGTGAGTCATCATTGATATGAATAGATGAAGGTCAGTAGGTCAAATGTTCCACATAGAGAGTTGAATTACTATGTACTGTCACAGCGCAAACACTTAAATGAATTTCGTTGAAACATCATTCATAGAAATACCAAAATGTTTCCTGAAATTCTATACCCTTTGTCAGTTCATTGTATTCACCAAACAGTCGGTGTATACCTCAATCAAGGAAGCCAGCCCCAGGTTCCAACCTTAATCCCCGACTCTATCTATAAATGCCAATTAACAGCAATTTTCGTGGTCGGATCTGATCTCATGTTATGAAAACAACTCCAGATCATCAAGACGTATTTGAGTATTGAAAATGCTCCAGTGGTTCCCTTATCGCTAGACAAAAGACAAACTCAAATGGACCCAATCCAATTCTTTTTCCGGTTCAAGGCTGAAAATTTATGTCAATGTTTTTAGAATCTGAAGAAATCCCTCCAATGTACCAGGGTCATCTGATGAATCAGTCCTGACAGGATATCTAGCCATTGATCAAGCTAGTTTGGGGAAGCCAATCATCATGAAATATTATGACTGGCAGTAGTTTTCCTCAATGGAATAGCTTCTAGGAATCTGGTTAAAGTGCACATACTTATGAACAAGGACATATTATAATGGCCAACATGATAATTTTTGTGTTTGTTCATTATTTTTAACACGGACACTCAGCAATATTCGAGCTATATGGCGGTGGTCTGTACAAAATAGAGTCTGGACAATCCCGTGCTAAACGTCATGACCATCGATCAACGCAATAGGAATACGATGACATGCGTGAACCAAATCAGCCAGTGTGACCACGCAATCCCGTTAGTCGCCTCTTACGACAAGCATGGGTTGCTAAAGACCAATTCCAACCAGGATCTTAACGGTTACATGCTAAAAGATGACCGAACGAAATGATTCTCCAAACATTGGTGAGGGCTTCAAAGGGGCAGGGTGACTTTCGGCTCAGGTTTTCCTTCCAAATTGCATGCATGACAAGTCTAACGAAATTGTGACAAATCCTGATGCAAATTCGGCCAGGACAAATGAAACCTCATCACCCATGCAGTCCCTGTTTAAACCGTCACACGCCTCTTTACCAAAATAGGTATGGAGAATTTCGATTCCTCATCCCGACACCATCTTGGCAGGTACTTTGGTAGTCTCAGCAGAATAAGTGTTCGTCTAACAAGTACCCATAATTTGAGGATAATCTTCCTGTCAAAAGCTGAACTGTGTTGGAGAGAGATAATGGTCAGCACTCGGAAAATAGCAGCCAATAGCAGAAACTTTATCCCGAAGACCATGACCCTAGAAAGTTCCAACAAGATGATAAGTGTTATCATTCTCGTTTGAAATCTCATGGGAGATCATGTTAACCAGAGAACGAATCAAGAACACCGCGAATATCTTTCTGGAGTCATTAAGTGCTCTCCGAATTGCTTGGCCCAATGCTGACTTGCAGGGTCAACTCCTAACACTGGGAGAGTGATGTTGTTTTAACTTCGACAAAACCCCGTAAAATCAAACACAATGAGAGGCGCAACAGTAACTCTATCATTACCCTGAAGCAAACTAATCGAAAAAGTCAAGACACCCTTTCCTTTCTACACCCACATATGTCCAAAAATTAGTAGAAACTCTCTGCTTGCTACAAAATACGCTGCTTCGACTTTGATTTCTGCCATATCTTGAACAAAGTCCCCTTTTCCCTAGCAGACTACACGGTGGTATAACTCTTTTTCTCACTCTGAAAAGGTCAGAAACTTCATTATCCATGTGTACAATATCCTCGGGCTTCAATCTAAGTTTCACAACTGATATCCTTGATCGCAATCAAAACACGTAATTATATGTGGGTACAATCGTTTATGTTTTATACTAAATTCGTTTGATCTCAGCAACTTAATAATGTGAAGAAATCGATTGAGAAACAAAAGCTCAAGAACGGTGTGACGTTTAATCGCTCTCATCACTCCAGTCCAGTAACTAATGAAAGTGAGGTTAACTGGGGTTTAAGGGCGCGTTCAACAGTCGGACTTACAATGTGAAGTATGCGTGTGCAAGTAGGTGTTTGTGTGCGTGGGTCGATCCTGAATTTATGATGATATCCTTCCTGAATTTATGATGATATCCTGCCAGTTTTTCATGCCCCTACTGTCCCAGGGCCAACACGTTAATTTTATCCCATCAATTTCTACCATCAGGAAGAGAACCAATAAGTACTTTACTGGCCTAATACAGGCCATCGCACTATCGTTCTGCATATCACTGGAGCGGTCAGTGGGTAATGAAAGGCTGCTTACATTTGAAATATTTTGGTTTCGCTCTCGGTCAGTCATAAAAGTATAGTCGTTCCGTTCAGATAACGTAAGTTGAGATAACTATATCAATTGTTCATATTCAGGATAGGGGCAACATCAACCATATCATCTTTCCCAAAACATGCATACTTATTGTGTCAGTATAAATAGCGAAAGCCTATTTGTGTGACGTTGAAGATCAGATTTCATAACGAGGTATTTCTGTACCTTGCAACTGTTTGGACAGGTATATGCCATGCACATAAAAGCAACATAACCGTGTCATAATCATAGGAAATGTCCACTGGCATATTCCACAACTCCGACTATATAATCTTTACCGGGTTAATGAGAGACATACAGACACGTGCCAGTTATATTCGGACACTTGACGTAACTTCCATAGACGTACATGTTAATTTAGTGTAGCATAAATAATGTTCATGAATTTAATTTTCATATGATCCAAGTCAAATTTTGCACATTTGTGAGGAATCATCGTACCTACAATCACATAATTTCTGTTACATTTTCCGTTGCTTATTGATCGAATGGCAACAATTTAATCAACATATGTACAGTGCCGTGAAGTGCCGTAACATGGCGGCCTATGGGATTGTGCACTGTGGAACTATACGTAAGTTGATAAATGTGATGTCATTAGTTAAATAGTGGTCGGAAAACTGAACTGAAATTATGTGCGCAGAGCAGAGATGATTTCAAATTTGCCTGTCAAATTTTACAAAGGTGTATCCTAAACTCCCCTCATGAAAATTATTTATGCTACACTGAAATAACATGTACGTCTATGGAAACGACGTCAAGTGTCCGAATATAACTGGCACGGGTGTGTACTTCATGTGTTGGCGTAATCTGTTTGCAGTTATACACAAGCACATGTCTACTTGCAATAACGTCCGTA